TATTATTATTATTATTATTATTATTATTATTATTATTATTATTATTATTATTAGCTTCAGGGGTTAAAAAAGGATGTTCAATTTTGTTTTCTTTCTAAAGCAAACAGTTTTGTGGGGGGAAAGTATTAATTCCATCAAAAGTCAACAAATGACTCACTAGGATTCTTTTTGTTGTTGTTGTTTCAAGAGCTTTTATGGTTTTCTTTCAAAAGTTCACAAACATGGAACAGATGGCCTACGTTGCACAGTCTCATTTTCCAGATCCTGGGGAGGCCAAATTATTTATTTAAACCTTTTTCTCTGAGGCTGTGTTGTGTTTCCACTTCCGGGCTGTCTTGATGGATTGTGAGCTGGTCCAACAGAGTTGTGTGAAGCAGTGGTCGCCAACCAGTGGGCCGGGGACCACTGGTCGTTCGTGAGAAAATTTCGGTGGTCCGCAGAGAAACGTCACCCCCAAAGCAATTAATCCAGGCTGCGCTTTTGGAACACAAGGCTGCGCTGTTCACATGGCCCCCAGGAACACAAGGCTTGTGTCACTTTTATTGCGAAAAACACGAGGTAGTGAGGGGAGGGGGGAAAGAGCAGAGGAGGGAACTTGCCCCACACGCCTGGCCTGGCCACCAGGCTGCTTCTTTCCGCTTCTTCCTTCTTCTGCTTTTGGCTGCACGCAAGGAAAGCAGCAAAAGTCTTTCTTTCTCTCCCCCAAACTCCACCAGAAATGAGTCTTTGGGACCCTGCAAGGCCTCCTGCTCCAAGAGGCTGCGCCAGCAAAGACTCATTTCTGACAGAGTTTGAGGGAGAGAAAGAAAGACTTTTGATGCTTCTGCTGCTTTCCTTGCATGAAGCCAAAAGTCTTTCTCTCTCTCTCTCTCTCTCTCTCTCCCCTTGAGAATGGAGCTGGAGACAGTGTCCTGTGATCCCAAATAAAGAATGATCGATCGGTAGGAAAACAGGGTGGGGAATTTTCCTGCAGACTTTTTTGGGGATTTTTCCAGAGTTTCTGGTCTGTGAGATTTAAAATTATGGGACTGGTGGTCCTTGAGGTCCAAAAGGTTGGAAAGCCCTTGTGCGAAGGACATACAGCTGGCTGACCTACCACAATTATTTGTTCCACTGATCAACTCTAGAGCTGCAGAGATAATAAAGGATGGACATTCTGTGGGGGGGGGGGGTTGGGGGGGGGTAAAGAATTTATCAATTTCCTTCCCTTTATGGGTTAGGGTTAGAGTTAGGGTTGGGGTCAGGCAGGGAAGATATAAAAGTTTCAAAAGTTGCTCCGGCCACTTGCCCTGAGGTGTTGATACAGGGGGATCCACAACTTAACAACCAGAATGGAGCCCAAAATTTCTGTCGCAAAGCGAGATGCTCGTTAAGTGAGTCGGTTCTGTCGCTGAGGGAGACGGTTCGTTCCATTGTACGGCCTTTCCTGCCGCAGTTGTTAAGTGAATCATTGCAGCTGTAAAGCCGTGGCCCGGTTGTTAAGCAAATCCAGCTTTCCCTTTGACCTTGCTTGTTCGAAGGTCGCAAAATTCAAGTTATATCACTTAACTAGCTCGATACCGGTGCTTCGCTATGAAACTATGTGGTCGGGCTTAGTTTTTGGGGAGGAAAATAAGGGGTGGAAAATTCTGCCTCTGCCTACCAGCATCCATTGGTATTCATCTGGCTAGCATACTGTCAGTCTGTGAGAGAGTTGATGGCTGTTTGGAAACTGAAAGAGTATTTGCTGTGTGAGCAAGAAGGGAGACAGCAAGGAGCCTGGGCGTGGCTTAGCTCAACTGTTCTGTACTAAAGGTGCTTGGAGCTCTGAAACTGAAACTGAAACTCCTCTCCTTTGCTTGTATTTTGCATTTGAAACAGATTTCTTTTCAGGTGGGGAGTGAGAGAATTGAGGGCTGTTTGGAAACTGAAACAGTATTTGCTGTGTGAGCAAGGAGACAGCAAGGAGCCTTGGCATAGCTTAGCTGAACTGCAGTTGGAACAGATTTATTTTCAGGTGGGGAGGGGGAGTGGAACTCCTTAGCATCAGACCATGTTAATAATAATAATATACAAAATGCTAATGCTATGATAGTCATTTTGAAAAATCCTTTCTTAGTGAGCACCTAGAAGCCAAGAGGAACATATGGGCCAAATTTCAAGTTTGTAGGCTTTATGGTTGTGGAGATATTGTGATGATGCGTGAGTGGCATTTCGCTTTTATATAGAGAGATAAATTAAAAAATGTGATATAAAGAAGGTCTCAAAATTTGATCCCGACTCTCGGGGACGCTGCAACCATCATAAAGACATGTCAGTTGCATGTTAAATTTTGATCACGTGACCACGGAGGTGCTGCAACCGTCATTGAATGTGGAAAAAAAATGGTCGTCGGTCCATTTTTTTCAGGGCCGTTGCAACTTCAAACAGTCATGAAACGAACTGCTATAAGTTGAGGAGTATTTGTAGTGCTTTAAGGACTCTTCGACGTTTGGAAAGTGATAACCTTTGGTTTTTACTTCCTTTCCACTGCAGATGTGTGGGTCTCCCCCGGGATCTTCTTGTGCAGATTCCCCCTGTGGTGGGTTGAGCTGCCAAACTGAAGATGGGATCAAGAAATGCGGCGGTCCCGGGTGCGAAGGTCTGGTGACAGTGGCCCACACCGCCTGGCAGAAAGCCATCGATTTTGACCGAGACATCTTGAGCGCTCTGGCAGAGGTGGAACAGCTCTCCAAAATGGTAATTATTTAAGATACAAGAGAATAACAGAGTTGGGAGGAACCTTGTAGGTCATCTAGTCCAACCCCCACCCTCCGCCCAAGCAGGAGACCCTACACTGTGTCAGGATTCCGGCATTTAACCCCAATGCAATGCTGAGTCTCGAGCCAAACTTCAAAAATATTTATTGGGAGTTAACATGTTCGGCACTGCCTGGTGTAGCCAACTTTGAGGCACATCATTCATTGTCACCCTTTACCCTGGTTTTCCCCCACCCCCTGGGTGTATCATAATTCATATTCTCCAATGGGACACATCCATAGCCAAGAGTCATTAATCATGCTCTCCAGTTTGAATTTTGCGTGGCAGAAACTTCTGTCACCTAGTTACTATCTTTGAAAACATTTATGGAATGCACTTTCGGTTTGCAAGCTGCTGCACTGCTCCCCTCTCCCTTTCTGTTGGCAACTCTAAAAGACTATAGAAATATTTTATGAGTTGACACACCATTTCTGAAAGAGGGCAGTCCAGTCTCTTCTTGAGAGCCTCCAGTGATGAAGCCCCTACAACTTCCGAAGGCAACATCTGTTCCAGGGGTTGATGGCTCTCACTGTCAGGTTCAATCTCTCCTTGATCAGTTCCCATCCATTATTACTTGTCTGGCCTTTGGGTACCTTGGAAAATAGCTTGACCCCCTCCTCCTCTCTGTGGCAGCTCCTCAAATATTGGAAAGCTGCTCTCCTGTCTCCCCTGGTCCTTCTCTTTGCTAGACTAGCCAGGCCCAGTTCCTGCAACCGTTCATCATAGGTTTTAGTCTCCAATCCCCTAATCCTCCTGATTGCTCTTCTCTGCACTCTTTCTAGAGCAAGGGACTTCAAACTTGGGAAGTTTAAGACTTGTGGACTTCCAACTCCCAGAATTCCTGAGCTAACATGACTGGAGGAGGAATTCTGGGAGTTGAAGTCCATAAGACTTAAAGCAGTCAAGTTTGAAGACTCCTGTTTGAGAGTCTCAACATCATTTGGTGGAGAATTGTCAGAGAATTCTTTAAAAAAAATCTTGCTCTCAGAGCTTTAGAATCCATTAAGTGTCGGTATTTAGTTTCAACGAGAAATGGAATTAACTAGCTGTTGTAAACACAGAGGCCTGCTTCCCTCGTTTAGGTTTCAGAAGCAAAACAAAGAGCCGACGAAGCCAAGCAGAATGCGCAAGACGTTTTGTTGAAGACCAACGCCACCAAGGAGCAGGTAGACAGGAGCAACAAGGACCTCAGAAATCTGATTCATCAGATCAGAGATTTTTTAATGAGTAAGTATTATCTTCAGGTGGCTTAAGGAGACTAGTATGCAGTGGTGGGATTCAAATTTTTTTTATTACCGGTTCTGTGGGCGTGGCTTGGTGAGCGTGGCAGGGGAAGGATACTGTAAAATCCCCATTCTCTCCCCACTCCTGGGGGAAGGTTAGCTGAGCTGAGCACGGAGCTGAAATAAACCATGCCCAGATTCCTTCCAGTCTCAGCCCCCGATTCAGCTCCCATTGGCTGACCTTGTTAACCATGTCTCTGCCAGTTCATGAATGTTCTGACAGTTTCTGTTTCTAGCTCAGGAGGTTCTTTCAGCAATTTGACATTTCAGTAGGACAAGTTAAGGAGGTTCCGTCTTCCGTCGGGTCACTCAGTGGTTTCTCTTCACCGTCCTAACAGAAGACGGGGCTGACCTGGATAGCATCGAAGCCGTAGCTAATGAAGTTCTCAACCTGGAGATGCCCAGCACACCTGAGCAGCTGCAAACCCTGGCAGATAACATCCGTGAGCGTGTCGAAAGTCTGTCAGATGTGGAGAATGTCCTTCAGCAGAGCGCAGGAGATATCGCAAGGGCGAAGGCCTTGTTGGACGAAGCTAAGAAAGCCAGGTATGGGAAAAAAATCCCTTCTTTTTTTGTAGTAGACTTTCAGAAATCTAAGATTGTCCTTCTAAGGGGGTAATTAAACTTGGAAGAGGCAGGTCTCCTTGGAGGAGACAGATGGATCGATTTTGAGACCTTCTCCAAGGAGGAAGACCCATCTATTAACCCAATAAGTCTGACTGAAATTCTTAAAGATACCTAACTATTTGGAGTGCAGGTTGTCCTCGACTTACAACCACAATTGGGCCCAAAATTTCTGTTGCTAAGCGAGACATTTGTTAAGTGAGTTTTGCTCCCATTTTACAACTCTTGTGTCAGAACATTTGGAGAGTACCTTTATGAGACAACCCAGGAGACAGAGATTTAGACATTAACAGTGGTTTAATATACAACAGGTATATGCAGACAATATACACGTGGTATAGGCAAGGCATTCGATAAAGTAGAACACAACCTACTTCTTAGTAAGCGAGAAAAAAGTGGAATAGATAGCACCACCACTAGATGGATAGGCAACTGGCTGGCAAACCGTACTCAACGAGTAGTCCTTAATGGGTCTAAGTCTACATGGAGGGAAGTAAGCAGTGGGGTGCCACAAGGTTCCGTCTTAGGCCCAGTACTCTTCAATATCTTCATTAACGACTTAGATGAGGGAATAGAAGGAGAACTTTCCAAATTTGCAGATGATACTAAGCTGGCAGGAATAGCTAACACCCGAGAAGATAGGCTCAAGATCCAGATGGATCTTGACAGACTAGAACACTGGGTCATATCTAATAAAATGAAATTCAATATAGAGAAAACTAAAGTCCTACACTTAGGCAAGAAAAACCAAAAGTACACATATAGACTGGGTGAAACCAGGCTCAATAGCAGTAACTGTGAGAGGGATCTTGGAGTCTTAGTGGACAACCAGCTAAATATGAGCCAGCAGTGTGTAGCAGCAGCCAAAAAAGCTAATGCAACCCTAAGTTGTATTAACAGAGGGACACAGTCAAGATCAAGGGAAGTACTAATACCACTCTATAAAGCCTTCGTAAGACCACACCTAGAGTACTGCATCCAATTTTGGTCACCACATTATAAAAAAGATGTTGAGACTCTAGAAAAAGTACAGAGAAGAGCAACCAGGATGATTAGGGGACTGGAGGCTAAAACATACAACGAACGGTTGCAGGAACTGGGCTTGGCTAATCTAGTAAAGAGAAGGACCAGGGGAGACAGGATAGTCTTCCAATATTTGAGGGGCTGCTACAGGGAGGACGGGGTCAAGCTATTTTCTAAAGCTCCTGTAGGCCAGACAAGGAATAATGGATGGAAATTGAACAAGGAGAGATTCAACCTGGAAATAAGGAGAAACTTTCTGACAGTGAGAACAATCAACCGATGGAACAGAAGTTGCCCTCGGAAGTTGTGGGAGCACCATCAGTTGAGACTTTCAAGAAGAGATTGGACTGCCATCTGTCAGAAATGGTGTAGGGTCTCCCACTGGGCGGGGGGTTGGACTAGATGACCTACAAGGTCCCTTCCAACTCTGATTATCAGTATCTGTATCTGGTAGGCAAAATGCCTTTACAAGTAAGCTTTCTTCTTCTTAACACAAGGAGAACTTCTCCACTGAATACTGGTCGCAAGGAAAGAGAACCATGCCCTCTAATGGCTGCCTTTTATATAGGCACCTCTTAAGGGGACCTTTACTCTCCAGCCTTAAAGGGAAATACCATACTCTGCTGAATCACTCTTGTTACATCAGGCAGACTTACATCAGATTTGCAGCATCTAGCAGCTACTCACTGCTGGTCAGTTCTTAAATCTTAATACCTTAACATCTTGCCACGATGGTTAAGTGAATCACTGCAGTTACAAAGTTAGTAACACCGTTGTTGAGTGAATCTGGCTTCCCCATTGACTTTGCTTGTCAGAAGGTCGCAAAATAGGATCGCATGACCCCTGGGACACTGCAACCGTCATGAATGTGAGTCATAAATCACTTTTTTTCAGTGCCGTTGTAACTTCGAACAGTCACTGAACAAACTGAACTACCTATATGTTTGACCCAAAGGTGCTTTTTTTTTCAGGAGGCAATTGGACTTTCTTGTTTTTTCTTTTCAAGACGTTTTGCTTCTCATCCCTTTAGAGGGTTGTCGAGGCCACTTTGAGGTTTATCTGTGTCCTCAGGGTCATCTGAGTAGTGCTCCTGATTCCTGTAGTCTGAAATTTTATTGCTATCTATAGACTTTTAGCTATAGAATTTGGGATGAATACCCTTGGAATGGGATGGGAGCAGGAATGGATTTCCAGAGGAAAAATTGCAAGCTGCAAGAACCATTTGCACTAGTCAGATGACCCTGAGGACACAGACAAACCTCCAAGTGACCTCAACGACCCTCTAAAAAGAATGCAAATGACCAGCTGTCTGCAAGGAATATAAATCCTCCCATTGCCCACCATCCTGTCAGAGTTGAAGAAGCTTCTTGAATGAGAAGTGAAACGTCTTAAAAAGAAAAAAGCAAGAAAGTCCAGTTGCCTCTTGAAAAAGCACTTTTTGGGACATTAGCCAGTTCTAAGCAGGGATTAACCATTAGTTGAGAAGATTTCAGTGTATAGGCTTTTAGTAATAAAACAAAAAGCACCTTTGGGACAACCATGACCTGGATGACGGAGAATCTCTACAGACTATCTGTATGTTTATATTTTTTTTGTCCTTACTGCTGCTGTTAAAGGGTAGTAGGCAAACCCTTGAAAGAGTAACTGGGAATGTGGATTGGGATGGTTTTCTCTTTATCTATTCCGGAGCCAATATTCTCCGAGGCTTGAGGATTCCAGGGGAATGTTCTTGCAGCATTGAAGCTGATTGTGAAACTATTGCTAGAAAATAAAAACAAAGGGCAGATTGAAGCAGAGAGACGTGTTCTCTGAAGTAGGAAGCAATCCTGTGTTTTGAAAGACTCTAACGTTGGTGATGTCCCTTGGTCAGTAAAAGCGCAACGGATGTGAAAGTCACGGCGGATATGGTCCGACAGGCTCTAGAAGAAGCTGGAAGAGCCCAGACCACAGCTGAAGATGCCATCAAACTAGCAGAGAAAGATATCGAAGGAACACAAGGCTTGCTTGCCTCTGTAAGTTGAGATTTTTCCTACCGTGTTTTCCCAAAAATAAGACCCTGTCTTATATTTTTTGCCACCAAAAAAGGCACCAGGTCTTATTTTCGGGGGGGGGGG